CACTTAAGTGATTCTCTTGCCTCAGCCTCCCAAGTAGCTGGGACTACAGGCACCCGCCACAATGCCCAGCTATGTTTTGGTTGTAGTTGTCATTGTTGTTTGGTGGGCCCAGGCTGTATTTGAACCCACCAGCTCTGGTGTATGTTCCTGGCACCTTAGCCGCTTGAGCTACAGGTGCGGAGCCTCTCAATTTGTTTTAAAACAGTCCATCTCTGTAGCCAAACAAGACTGCAGAATACATCTTTTGTCTGTCACACATATATCCACTTTCTGTTTTGCTAAGAAGGAGGTATTTAACTGTGTTAACAGTTTCTTTCCCACAGAGGAAGGCCACAACTGTCATATAAGAACAGCTGCGCTGATGGATGTGTTACTTAGTTCAATGTAAGCATTTCACATTGTATATTGAAGCAGTACCCTGAACCCCATAAATGCACCAATGTACAAAGTTATGATCTAATAATAATAATAAAAAGAACAGCTGCAGGTGGCCAGGCGTGGTGGTTCACGCTTATAATCCTAGCACTCTGGGAGGGTGAGGCGGCTGAATTGCCCGAGCTTACCATTTGGAAGTTGGACACCAGCCTGAGCCAGAGCAAGATATTATCTCTAAAAACAGCTGGGTGTCATGGCAGGCACCTGTAGTCCCAGCTACTGGGGAGTCTGAGGCAAGAGGATCATTTGAGCCCAAGCGTTTGAGGTTGCTGTGAGCTATGACGCCACAGCACTCCACTGAGGGCAACAAAGTGCCCTAAATAAATAAATAAATAAATAACATTAGCCAGTTGTGGTAGGAGGATTGCTTGAGTCCAGGAGATCAAGGCTGCAATGAGCTAAGCCTGGGTGACAGAGCAAGAACTTGTCTCTATAAAAATTTAGGTGGAAGGGTCCACACCAAAGAAAACCTCAAACTCAAGAACGGGGGAGGAAAATGAGGGTTCAGTAGCTTCCCACCCATAATGCATGAATACATGGCACCCTCCCTGGGTGCAAGACACAACTACAACTCTGATTTTTACCTGTCATGTGTAAAATTATATAACCTAATGGTTTGTACCCTCATATTAATACAAAACTAAGAAAAAGAATGAAAAAAATGAGGAAGGGTGTCCTCATAAGAAAAGGACGAAGCTTGGCTTGGTGCCTATAGCTCAGCAGCTAGGGCACCAGCCACATACACCAGAGCTGGCAGGTTCGAACCCAGCCAGGCGACTGCCAAACAACAATGACAACTACTACCAAAAAATAGCCAGGCGTTGTGGTGGGCACCTGTTGTCCCAGCTACTTGGGAGGCTGAGGCAAGAGAATTGCTTAAGCCCAAGTTTGAGGTTGCTGGGAACTGTGATGCCAGGGTACTCTACCACAGATGACATAGTGAGACTCTGTCTCAAAAAAAAAAAAAAAAAAAGAAAAGAAAAGAAAAAAAGAAAAGGAAGAGGCAGGGTGCAGTGGCTCATGCCTATAATTCTTGCATGGAGGGAGAATCCCTTGAGCTCAGGAGTTTGAGACCAGCCTTAGCAAGAGAGAGACGCTGAAAAATAGGAAAACTAGCCCCAGACTTGTGGCAGGTACCTATAGTCCCAGCTACTGGGGAGGCTGAGGCAAGAGGATCACCTGAGCCCAAGAGATTGAGGTTGCTGTGAGCTATGATGAAGTCACAGCACTCTGCTCAGGGTGACAGGAGAGAGAGAGAGAGACACCAGGTGTGTGTGCAGGCAGGTGAGGGGGGACCAAGTGAGGCCACCAGAAAGAGGGTGGCCATCAGCAAGCCCAAGGAAAGATGTCCCAGAAAAAACCAACCCTGACAGCACCTTGACCTTGGACTGCCAAGCCTCCAGAACTGTGAGAAAATACATTTCAGTTTGAGCCACCCGGTCTGTGGTGTTTTGTCATGGTAGCTCTAGCAGACTGATACAGGATCTCAGTATTTTAGTTTGCATCTCCAGCTCTCTCATCCTGCCACTTGTTTATTTTGTCTAAAATATAAATGGGCTGCTCTCACTACTCCGGCTCCTGGCAGCTGCCAAGACCCAGTGAGGTTTAACTCACGCTCCCGCCCCTCATCAGGAAGGCCCCCTCCAGGATTCCTCCAGATCCTTCTTAGCCTGCCCGGCCTCCTAGCCAGGGGCTCTCGGAGCGGGAGCGGCGGCTCTGCTGGTCCCCAAATTTCTACTTCCTGATCTCTTCCCACCCGCTCCTCTGTCCCCAGCTCCTGGTAGAGGGCAAGGAGGCGCTCCAGCTTCGGGGTGGGGGGCGGGGGACCGGATTTAAATGTCTCTAGTACCTGGGGAGATCGGGCGCGTCCTGGAGCAGCCCCCTGCGTCTGGTATCTCGAGGTGCCACCGTCACGGTGCACAGAGACAGAGACCTGCGCGCAGCCCACGAGGATTGGGACAATGAACATCCGCACCTCGGGCAGCGGCAGCGGCGCACACAGTCGGGCGGGCCTGCACGGGCAGGGGGCGGGCCGGGACCCTGCAGAGAAGGGAGGCTTCCTTCCCAGCCTCTAGCTGCCCGGAAATCCCCCCGCACTCTGCAGGCCCTCAGCAGGGGTCCCCAGGAAGGCAGCGAGGGTGGAGGAGGGAGTGGGGGATGGAAGCCCTGGGCTGTCCCTCTCCAGGGCTTCGCGGCTCTGAGAAAGCAGAAGCGAGTCCTGCTCCGGGGAGCCCCACCAGAGCCAGAATCTGGGAAGAGAAACTTGCGCACCGCGTCGTGGGAGGAGAAGCTGGGGTGGCAGCCAGGGCTGCTCACGCCCGCTCCCCATCTGGGCGTCCTGCCGGGCCCTGGTGCTTTGAAGCACTGGGAGGAGGGTCCCTAGGTACTGGCAGGGGGACGGGAACCACCGCAGGACCGGCCTCTTCTCGCTGGACGTGGGAAGATTTGGCCACTTCCCCAGCCGCGCCCTTACCGCTTACTGAGGTGCGCCCGAGCCGCCCCGCCCTACCCGGCCCGCCGCTCCAGCGGGGAAAGTGGGGAAGCCGGTGCAGCGTCCCGGCGGGGACAGGACCAGGCCCGGGACCCTGAAAGGCCGCCGCAGCGGAGCCGGAAGCCAACCTCGGTCCCCTCTTTCTCAGCCCTCCTGGGACCCCCAGTCCTACCAGACCCAGCGAACGACCCCAGGACCCCGGGCCCTCAGCTGACTCTCCAGCGCGCCCCCGACACTATCGTGCCTTCCGGGACTCCAGGCCTCCGACACACTCCGGTCTTCCTGCCGGCCCCTCCTATACGGTGTCAGGTCCCCCCCGACCCTCTCTGGCCCGAACCTCCTCCCCCAGGTCCCCAGGGCAACTGAGTCAGACCCCTTTCAAGCCGCGCCATGCGGCTGCAGGTGCTTCGCCTCAGGCTCCCGCTCCTGGCGCTGTTGCTGCCTCTGCTGCTGCCGCGGGCACTCGCCCCGAAGCCCACTGGGCAAGATGTGAGCCTGGGTGTGGTGAGTGCGGGGTCCGCGGGGAGGCTGGGGAAGGGAAGCTGGGGGTCCGGTGAAGGCAGGAGGTCAGATTTGAATTTTTAAAGTGACAAAGGATGGGGCCTGGGGACCCCAACTACTGGGTCCTCGCAGTCTGGCAACCCCCAGGCTGGAGTTCACCTCGGGAGGGGGCTGACCGGCATCCGGGCTTGGGGCCCTGGGCTCCTACGCCTGGGAGGGGCAGGGCTTCCAGGGTGGTGGGCTGGGAGAGCCTATCCCTTTTACCCTGTCTGCTTCACCTGTCCACTTCCATGGCCTAGGACTGGCTGACCCGTTATGGCTACCTGCCACCACCCCACCCCGCCCAGGCTCAGCTTCAGAGCCCTGCGAAGCTGCGGGATGCCATCAAGGTCATGCAGAGGTTCGCCGGGCTGCCAGAGACCGGCATCATGGGTAGGTGGCCCTACCACCACTCCCCTGCCCTGCCTCCGAGGTGCCCCACCTTGACCCGCATTCTAAACTTCAGGTTGCTCCTGAAACATGGAAGTGATGAGGGTGCTGATGTCAGGTCCCTGCCCGGGAGGTTTTCAGGCATTCATCTTTCCATAAACAGCTATAGAGAGTCTCTTACGTGCCAGGCCATTTAAGGCTACCTTGGTGCAATGGTGAATAAAGTAGATAAGGTCCCCGCTCTCACGGAACCTACATGCTAGAGGAATATAGATCACAGATGTACATGCTAGAGGGATGTAGGTCACAGAGGGATGTAGTACACAGATCAAAAACATATGTATGCAAGACTATTTCAGATAGCGGTGAGCGTTTGAAGAAAATAAAATGCTAATGGTATTGAGGGGCTGGTCTGCTCAGGATGGGGCCCTCTGAAAGATGTTATACCTCAGCTGAGACCACAAAGAGGAGGAGCCAGCCATGGGAAAATGTGGGAAAAGAGTGTTCCAGGCAAATGAAAAGGATGTGTGGCATGCATGAGATTGTGAGCCTGGAGTGAAAGGATGGCTGAAGAGCCTTGGCAAGAGCCTTGTCTAGGGGCCTTGAAGCTGTTTGGGTTTGATTCCAAGGGTGATCTGAAACAACTTGATCTGATGTGCAATTTTAGATTTCTGGTTGCTGATGGTGGATGAAGGGTAGGAGCTCTGAGACCAAGCTCTGTACCATCCAGGCAAGTGATGTAGGTGGCCTGGATTGGGGGTGATACATGTGGCCAGAAGCAGTCGAATTTGTTGTGTATACTTTGGAAGTAGTTGAAGGATCCTGGCCAACTACAAAAGAGGGCAGGACCTTTATTGTGTTTTGGCTACTCTCATGAACAGCCTAGAACAGTATTTGGCATCTGTATGTCTCAATTACTATCTGTCATCTCAACAAATGAGATATCGTTTGACCTTAATTTAAAAATGAAGAGGCAGGGTGGCACCTGTGGCTCAGTGGGCAGGGTGCTAGCCCCATATACCAAGAATGGAGGGTTTGAACCCGGCCCCAGCCAAACTGCAACAAAAAATAGCCGGGTGTTGTGGCAAGCGTCTGTAGTCCCAGCTACTCTGGAGGCTGAGGCAAGAAAATCGCCTAAGCCGCCTGTGGCTCAAGTGGCTAAGGCGCCAGTCACATACACCGAAGGTGGCGGGTTCGAATCCAGCCTGGGCCTGCCAAACAACAATGATGGCTGCAACCAAAAAA